ATTCCTAGGAATTTTTCTACTATTGCTTGAAAATATATTGCTATTCCTTCCTAATACTTCAAATGCTAACATGATTTTATCTCCCTAGTTTGAGCTTTCCTTGGCATTATTCACAAACTAGGTCATGCGCTATTCTGCCTTTGGGAAAAAGCAGAGAGCTTCTTTCAGTTTGTGTATCATTTATGAGTGCTTGTTCTGTAAACTCCACTACATACTGAAGGCTTTATCCCCAACTAGTAGTGCTACTTTGGGAGGTTCCATACATTTTAGGAGTTGGGACTTTGCTGTAACAAACTAGTTGCTGGAGAGGTTTCCTTGGGTGGCCTCCAATTTACAATGGCTCAAAAACACAGGCCAGATGACTATGTACCGAAACTATGAACCAAAGAAATACTTCATCTTTTTATATTGTTCTGTTAAATATTTGTGTTATAGTGACAAAAATGGCAGTATCACTTAGGGAGGTAGATCACTGCTGTAAGTAAAGCTGCCCATGAGGTCCTTGAACGTTAGGAATTAGTTTTGAAGAGTGAGTTACAAAACTACTAGAAATTATTTCAAAGACATTCTGGAAAGTGATAGGCCAATATTATTAATAATTTCCAGTGGGAGCTGGGAACAGGCTGACTTTAACAAGGCAGATGCAGGAGAAGTTTTGTGCTCAAGAAATTGTAGATGGGGCAGTTCCCAGGCCCACCCCTGTGTATCTAGGCTGAGAGGGTATCCTTCTGTGGAGAATGGGCTCCCAATATTTATTTGTACACTAGGTATAAATGCCTTTCCCTTACCAGGGGCCCCATAGCCTGGCCAGGCGATCCCCCATAGAAAGCATCAACATTTCAATGGAGCAGAAGAGGGATGGGACGGGGGTTGGTGGGGAGCATAGGAGAATAGGAAGGAGAGGGAACTGGGATTGATATATATATAATAAGATTTTATTCTAAATTAAATTTTACAGAAGAAATATTAGAGGTTGTAGATAGAAAGGAATATTCTAGTTGAAGTTGAACCAAAAGCAAAGCACATTGTGTGTGGAACAGAGCTTGTCAACAATTTTGTTCCTGTTCTGAGATTTTCAAGAAATATTAATTTTAAGATGATTGACTAATTAAGCTTGAAGAGATAGTATGAAGATATTTGAATATTCAAATGGCAATATGCTTATTATTCTATGTTTAGCCAAGCTTATATTGAGAATATGGATACAAAAGTAGAATAGTAATTAAAGAGTTTGCAGCTTGGGCATAAATGGAACATATTTATTGTTACCATCATACACTCAAAGATTTCTTTAAAAAGAGATCAGAACTCTAGTGATTCCTGTTGCATAGGACCACCTAAAGAAATGCTTTATTACATATAATGAGCTGTGATCCAAGTACGGTCAGCTATTGTCCAATTTGGCCAATGAAGTTGTGGAGGGTTCTACCAAGATACTAAAGGAAAGCCATGTAATTCAGAGAATATTTGACAGGGTCAGAACCCTTGAAGCAAACCTATGAGGAAATTGTACATGAAACTTTGACTGTGGGGTTAAAACTAAACTGGAGAATCTAGAGAGTGAGAGAATAGAATTATGAAATGCCTGCTAGAAAGAAATCTGTACATGACAAATGGATTAGTCCAGGAAGGAGGCCATGTGGTTTTAAATGTCAGAACATGGGTACTGGCTTAAGTTCTTTGGAGCACTTATATAGTAGGAAATACTTAGAATGCCAATATAGATACAGTATGTCATGTGTGCGTCAGCAGATTTCAACATTGGTTGACCCTATACTTCTTTTTAATGCCCCATACTTCAATTTTGAAGAGTGTTTACTGTCTATATAGTAACAGTAAAATGTGATTAAAAATATTTTACAAGGTCTCATATCAAAGTCTTGCATTGAAACTGGATGAAAGTTTTAACTCAGAGTTTTGAAAAATGCTGGAATATGAGCTATGTGGATTGAATCATTTTTCATTTTTAAAATGAAAATAAAATTGTAATATAAAAACCTCTTCATGCTCAGCATAGGCATACTTTTAATTGTTAATCTGTGGTGACCAAATGCATAATGCTTTCAGGCCAAGAATAATGACTGGCTAGATATTGCTCTCCATCAATTCCTTTTCTCAGTAGCTATTTTACCCAGTCCTTAAAAGGTCCCCCAAATGCTGTCTTTAGCATAAAGTTTATTTGTGAATTCAGATAGACTATTATTTGACTAACACATTTTCAAACACTGAGTAAATGATAGAATGAAGACTCTTACCCCAGCTGCTTAGGTGCTCAGATCATTTCACTTCTGACCAATGTTCATGAATCTAACACAGTACCCCTAAAAATCTCCCACATGTCTCATTCCCTTGCAGCTGTGCAATGTATGTCCTCAGCTTGGAACACAGCCATGTCCCATCCAACATCCCATGACCCTTATGATTTAGACATGACAGTGAATTTATCATTACTCCCCAACTTGTCCTTCCAAACTATGACTATCATTTGCTGTTTCAAAAGATTCTCATTACTTGGAAGTGATAAGACTAGTACCTTAGTTGATTCTCATTCTTGGTGCCACCCTGTTTTGTATGTCTTCATTACTTAAATTCTGAATCGTTTCAGTCTCATTACTGATCCTTCCCAAAATCAGTTCTTATCATAATGCATGTGACCTTTACATTTACCCATCCATGGATGTTTTTTGACCAGTTATCCATATTATTTACATTTATTTTTACTGGAAAAACAAATTACATGTATACCCTTGCTCAGTGACATCTTTTGAAATGTGATGCCTTGTAAAAGAGCAAATTCATTTTCACATTTCCACCATGTTTGTGGTAAGGATATAACAACAAAATCTACCGTTAAGTTTTCAGTTGTGCAGTAAGTCATAGCTAACTGTAATTGTCATGTTCAACATTAGTTCCACTGAAAGCATTCTGTATAAATCCAACTTTGCATCTTTACCACAGATTCCCGGAGACAACCAAGCCTCTGGTACTATTAAGGTTTGATGTAATTTTTACTTCTACAAATACACAATTTTAGCTTGTACATATATTACAGATAATTATTTTCTGTGTTGGACATGCACTATGTTAATGCAAGTGATAGGATGTCATCTATTTATGAATCTGAATGGTGTTCTACTTTGTATAAACACCACATAGTGTTCATCTACCAATGAGTGCTTATGTTGTTTCCTTATCTTTTTGTGTGTATGAATAATACTAAAATGAAGATAAGAGCTTGCTGGTTCCACTTCCCTAGATATGTACCTGGAGATGAGATTATGGGACCACATAGCAGGATTTCTGTAATTTTTCAAAATGAATCTACTAATATTTCATACCACCTACAGTGTTAAAGTGTTTCCTATGTTTACACATGCTAACAATTTAACTTTTTACTTTGGTCTTTTTCTCAATATCTAAGGTTTTGTTTCTTACCCAGCTTTGATTTCATGATGGTTAATTTTGCTTTACAAGACTTAATCATAATTGCGTTGCAGATGTTGGAAATATTTTCTGAAGTCTTTTCTTTTTGTGAGATTCTGGAGGAGGTGAATCAATGTGGTGAATGAAATTGGCAGACTCAGAGAATGAAAGCTGTGTAAGGAAGAATCCTTTCCTTTTTCTGCAGCTCTTGCATTCCTGCTTTAGACTTTCACAAAGCCTTTTCCTAGATGAGAAGTAGTGACTCTATGTTCTGGGATGCTCTTCAACACCCACTACTGCAAGATTCTTTATCCTCCTCTGAGGTTTCTTGTCTTCTTTCTTTTTGTTTCTAAATATTGGAGCACCTCAGGCTCCTTGTCTTATCCCTTCACTGTATACATTGAACCATTCATGTCCTAACTCTATTTGACCTTAGTTCTATTTTTTTCAGGAACATACATGGTCATGGATCCTGAACGGATTCCTGGGCTTCAGACGCTCTAGAAGTTCTAGATGTCTTCAACAGTACTACTGAAAAACTCTATCAGATCAAGAATATCATCATTCTAGCATACACGAATGAAAAAAATGTATTACCTCAAATATGTTTTCCCCTGCTGATATTTTCTGTTAGTACATGTCACAGCATCCATTTCAGTGTCATGAAAACAAAAAGTTAAAAATTGCAGATTTTGTTTTTTACTTCCCTGTTGCCATCATCTAGAATTCCAGCAATTCCTTGACATAGCAAGCTCTTTTTGTACACAGTTATCACATTGCATAGGTCTCCTCTCAAATCCACCAACCCTCAACGGTGGGTTGGCACTCAATATTGAACTTCTATTGATTCTACTTCGAATACCGCTTCTGGGTAACCCACAATCCAATAAGAATCACCTTTGTAAGGTGTCAACTAGATTATAAACACTTCTCTTTATTGAACCTTTGTTTCTGAGACCACCACCTATACTCTTCACTCTGGTTCAACTTTTTAATTTCTCTCACTACACTCTAAACTGTATTTCAAATAAATGAAGAAGTTCATGGTAAAGAGCTCTTGTCCTGCTGAAAAATATTTGGGTGAATAGTTCTTTCCATTGATAATACTGTTTTAATAAGTAAATATTTAATTATACAAATTTTCAAATTGAGGGAGGAGCCACACAGTCCGTTGATGTTGGTATGGGCTTAAAGGCAGAAGAATCATGATGGGTAAGAGAATTGTTTTCTGTTTGGCAGGCTAGTAAATAGAGAACTGGATCAAGTATTAAGTTCCAAACTGGGAGAGAATGTAGGGCTGGGGGATGAAAGACCATATTAAATTGGAGTCTCCAAAGGGCATGACAGAATTCAGACAGTTAGAAGTCAAGGGAAGTAGAAGAATAGAAATCCCTACCATCCAAGGGAACCCCAAAGGCTCTATCGTTTGGCACAGGGGTTAGAGTGGGGTCGCAGGAGACCTTGGTCTTCTCCCTTCTTTCCATGGGAGGCTCTGGCACTGCTCGTGTGGCAGCATGAATATGCGTTTGGAGGTCAACATCCTTCCTATAGGTCTTGAGGCTCCAGAAGTCCTGGATTCAGTTCAGAGGCCCTGGTTTGGGAACAAAGGACACTTCCACTCCATTTTTAATCCAGGGTTTGAAGTTAGACGGGAGCTTAGGCTCTGGATTCTGTCTTCTGTTTTTCACTTCTGGTACTTGAACCACAGAGGCTCCTCAAATTGCCTCATCGCTTTCTTGCATTGGCTGAGAGCCCTCAGCACTCTCTCCTTAGCATAGGGGTCTGGATACTCCTCAAGAAGCTCTGCAGGGAGGGTTTTAAGACACAGAGATGTTAGGAGGTTACTGCTAGCCTCAGGAGGGACAATCTTAACCATCACCCGGATGCAGGTCTATTCAGGGTTCAGCACAACCCACAGCCATCGCTTTATATAGGTGTCCCAAGGACTAGAGAGAGCTAGGCCCATGGAGGCCTCGGCAGGAGGTCTGGTGGAGAAGCACTTTTAGGTCCCCAACACCCTCTGGTGCTTGTTGGGTTTCCATTGGGCCTTGGGACAAGGGTATTGCTGAAGCCAGGCAGGTCAAACTCTAGACATTGGGTACCTGTGGGCAGTGAAAGTGGCAGGCAGCCATCTCTGGGGTGAGCATAGGGAGCTGCCCAAGCTCACAGCTTCTGTCAACCAAGGACCTGTCAAGGGCAGGACCCTTGGCTGTGGACATGTAGCTGTGAGAAAATGTTGGAAACCCACAAAAACTGTGTAGTTTCAAGACAATGAGTACATAGTTCCCACTGGCATCTCTCAATGTGGAATGTGTATGTTTCTCATTAGTACCTGCACCTCATTCTTATAAATTGTAAAATTCTTAAATGTTGAAAAGAATACATGTATAAAGTGATCACCAATCCAGAAACATTGCTATCTATTTGCTCCACACAAGTTGCCCTCTCTGGAATTCTTTTGTGTCTCTCAATTGGCCTAGAATTATGTATGGAAGGTCTTATGTGGCTGAATCTTTTTAACATCTCTCCCTGCTGTGGCATGTACTTCATCCCTTCCATTGCAGGGATTATTGCATTTGCTGATCACTTTCCTCAACTGCAGCATCTCTGTTGGGAAAAGTCTTGCTTCAGATGCTGAATGTACCTTGGCTCATGTGGACATTTTAGACTTGCTGAATCACAGCAATCCCTTCTTTGACATTTTAAGAGACCACCAAATTGTTCTCAGTTTTGCACCATGTGGCACCCGAGTAGCAACCTCACTCTGATTTTATTATAACCATTGAAAGGGAAAAGTTGTAATGATTTTTGGAACTCACAGAAATTGCATATGGGTTGTTTACAGAGGAAATTTTCTTTTATTATAGGAAAAATGAATATTATTCCTTTGAAGGCTCTTAGAGAAAATAAATACCCAGTTTTCATTTCATTAAGTGGGATGGGCTTTTCTTCATATTGAATAGTTGCTAATGTCAATGTTTACTATTTTTCTTCTATGTAAATTGTGATGGTAAACCACAGTTTATATTTTAGTGCTGACATTCATTTCATGTGGACTTCTGAAACGTTAGCTTGCTGGGGATTCATACACAGCTGTCCTTCCTTTTTCTTTCTTTACCTGTCTCTCTTTCCCTACCTTTATCTTACTTTCTGATGTGCTTTGGTACTGTGTATTTTATAGTTTGGAGACTAAGTTTGCCCCCTAACCTCAAGTCATTATGTGGAAAGCTACTTTCTTCAGTGGCAATAATAATAAGTGGTAATTGGTTCACTAGAACTGTGCCCAAAGAATAATTCAAGAAATTCTCATGTGACCTTAGGGTATCTATCTCCAGAGTTTTGTTAGAAAGAAGGAAGGTAGCTATTTCTTGAAACCTTTACCTTCCTCTGCAAATGTGATCAATCCTTCTTGCCTATGTCACTATAACTGTGACACTATTCATATAAGTCCTTCAAGAGAGCACATCTGATGCCAGTATCCTGCCTGTGAAACTCCACAACTGTGAACAAAATAAACAGTTTATTTTATAAGTAAGCCCTTACCAGTTATCTCATCATAACAATAAAGAATGACAACTGTGTGTACAAAATAAAAAGAAAGCTTGTCTAAACCTAAGCAAGAAACGTTTTCAAGGGATTATAATTATCACATTTGACAGACCATTAAAGCCTATGTGAAATGTGTTTATACTCTTAAACATTTTCCCCAGATAAATGTGCATTGAGTACCCTTGAATGGGCCACAATGTTAAGGGACAGAAAGCAGAGTCAGACAAAATAACCAAGTCCAATAACAAACAGGTTCCTCCAGGATTGGACAGAGGTATATGGTGGACACTAAAAAGATTTTAATAAGAAGGTTCAAGTTGTCAGGAGTTCAGAGAGAAGTCTGTAGAACTGCTAAAAGAAATCTTTCCCCTCACTGACTAGTTAATTTTCATTCCCCCAAGAGTCCTTAAGCAATGATCTCGAATATACAATTTGGAAAACAGAAAGTAATCCTAAAGTATAACATTCTTTTCAATCAGGCAGTTCTTGATAATGACGCCAAGAAGTTACAGCCTTGGGAATCCTTGCAGTAAGTATGATCATTGTAGTAGATTATCTACTACAATGCCAGAGAGTTCAGATTTCTTTAAATGCATGTTTTCTTCTTGATTCTACATTTTTCTGTGTTCTGTAGGAAACTGTGGTAAGCTCAACGAATGTTCTGTTAAAGTGCTTGCCTCAGTTAGCATTAACTGTCAACTTGGAACCTGAAGAGTTAGACTCAAGTAATTAATGTTATTGAGTTGCTCTGTGTGTATTTCAAAGACAGATTTTTTTTGATTATCAATTGATATATGAGGGTCTATCACATAGGGAGTAGCACAACTCTTTGGATTGGTACTCTAAGATTGTAGAAGAAAACTAGCTAAACATGAGCTTGCAAGTGAAAGAGCAAACAATGTTTCTTTATGTTGTTTTGCTTGAGGTTCCTCTTTGAGCTCCTGACCTGAGTTCTCTCAATGAGGTAGTGTGACCTAGAATACAAAGCAAATCTACCAATCCCAGGTTGCATTTAATTGGAGTGTTTAATCAAAGAATCAGGAAGCAAATGAGAATATTGTCTAAATCCTAAAAATTTTATTGGAAATATAGCACAAATAAACTACACACACACACAGGGGAAAAGATGAGCATGATTGGGGAAAAAGTCACCCCTCACAGAGTAGCTATCAACAATTGATAGCTACTAAGAGAAACAGAGTCTGTTTTCTTCAAGATGTTACTTGAGCTGCCACTTATATGACAGTAACACATCTGTACTCATGCACATGCAAGCAGCATTAGATGGAATCAGAGGGTTTTAAAAAAATTATTCAAAGAATCTGGGATGGGAAAAATGATGGTGGGAGACAGTATGGTTCAGGAAGAGGGAGCAGAGGATGATTGTGATCAGAATATGTTATATGCATTATGAAATTCTTAAACAAAAAATAAAATAAAAGCAAATGAAATTCTTCGAAAAAATATACTGTGAATACATCACTAATGACACATCCCCTCATAGCAACATTTCTTCTACATAACTTCCCACTTCTTCCTTAGCTCACTCCTTTCCCTAAGGTGTTGTACTCTTCCCTCCATGGGGGTCTATTGACTTCTTGTGACTAGGAGCTTTCAGCTAAACACTTCTCATCCCCTCCTCGCAATACAAATTCCTGTTTTCCATCCATCCTTTGTCTGAATGCTAATTCCTGTTTTTGGCCCACACTTTGCCACAGGGCTCTGGGATTGCAGGCTTCTGACCTTGGTGGTTTTCCACCATAACTGCCTTTACTATTTAAGGCTTCACCCTTGTAGTAATAAATCCCATTCGCCTCATAATAATGAACCACTGTCTTTGTCTATAGTTACAACCTTAGCCCTTCACCTCGGATCATTGTGTCTTGTAGCAGCTATAGCCACACGAACACCGTTGGCTCTCTACACTAAGGAATGCCATGTGTTTGTTACTCTGTATTGACTTCCATTTGAGACTATCAGGATTTTTATTTCTCCATTTTTTCAAGTTGAGGGCCAAATTTTTCTTATAATTTTCATTATTTCTCTTAAATTCTACCTTGAGTTTATTCTAAATGTTTAAACATGTCTTGAGATATAATTAAAATACCAAACAATTCACTGTTTTGCCTTTCAGGTCTCATTAGCTTTTGGTATATTCCCAGACTTGAGTGTCCATCACAAAAATGTTTGTTTCTAGCTCCATCCCCTTGCTAAGGAACAGGTACCTGAAGTCTATCATTTGTCTCGTGCCACACCCCACCCCACTCCCAGCCAACACCCACTAACATATAGTCTGCTATTTTGCACTTCCAAGCACATCTCTTTCTGTGGCATTGCACAACATGTGGTCCTTTCTGACATTCTTCCAATTGAGTCATGTATGTAAATACTATTAATGTCATGAAATTGTTTTATTTTGTGGATATCTTAAATTTCATTTATTCTTCTGTCAGCCAATGGCTATTTGTCTGTCCATTTGTATTGAGAATTACAGAGCTTTAAATATTCACAGATAAACATTGTTAACTCAAATATTTTCACCAACAATGACAGTCTATATAAGACATAGAAGAATAAAAGCATTACTTTTGCCTGTTGCCTTCAATTTCCTGTCAACTTCCTTTATTTTTTTGCTGCCACTGGTGCATTTCTTCATTGATATGATATTAGAAACATTCTTTGTGTAAATGGATGCAGAGATTTTCTTTTTTTTTTCCTGACCACCCAGTTATAAATAACAACAAAAAAAAACTTGTTTAAAATACAGAAGGCTCCCCCTGTAACTCAGGCTTATTATTACGTACATCTTGAAGCTTAAATGAACCTATTTCTATTTATATACATTTTGTCACATAGCTTCAAACTTTACCTGTTCTTTACTGCATCATGTTCCTCTGGCAGCTGGCTCACATTTCTCTTTGACTCTGCCCCTTCTTTTCTCTATATTTTCCATTTGACTTTCCTGTCTAGCCTTATTCTTACTTGCTATAGGCCAATTCAGCTTTACTATTAATCAATGAGAGTAATACATATTCACAGCATACAGAAGGATTATCCCACAGCATTTCCCCCTTTCTTCATAATCAAAAAGGAAGGTTTTAATAATAACATACTAATATTATATAGAAAAAGCAGTTTTCAAATAAGAACTATAGTTACAATATCTAGTCTATCTTTATTTGACAAAAATTAGAGAAAGTATTATCTATCTTGGTGATTCCAAAGTTTTGTGTCAAATTGTCTTGTATCATAACTGAAGAAAATGGTAAATATCTAGTCTTCAATTCGATCAAAGACCTGAGAGAAGTAAAATGTTATCTAGTAACAAAGTACTCTAGTTGCCTGGACAGTAACTCAAAGTTCCTCTGGAATGTTGGTTATCCACTTCTGGCCTCTAGGCCTAGTATGCCTGACATAATTTCCTGTAAAACAGGGAACTGTGAAGAACTGTCCTACAAGGGCAGTTTCTTTATCCACTGGCTAGCATTTACCATGAAGAAAGTAAACTCCATATGGAATTTCTTTAATGCTCCAAAATTTTTTGGAGTGCATTGATGCTGCCAGGAGCACACACCTTTAATCCAAACACTCTGCAGGCAGAGGCAGCTGGGTCTCTGTGAGTTCAAAGCCACTCAGGGCTATAAAGCAAATTCCAGGACAGGACCCAAAA